AGGGGTCATGGGGGGAGGGGAGGGGGTGGGGTCTGCACCTGGCTACAAGGGGTGGGGGCACGAGGGGATGCCACACCCCCTGGGCCAGAGCTTGATGCGGCCTTAAAAGAGAAACTGAGGCACAGATAAGGGAAAGGTTGGGCTGGGCTTGGGCATCCCAGAGCTGCAGGGAACCCAGGCATCTGGGCTCCCAGCACCCCCCACCCCTGCTCTTACTCTCCCACACCTGGAGGGAACCCAGGAGTCTGGCTGGGGCTGGGCCTGCTTTAATCACTCAGATCCCACTCCCCTCCCAGAGCTGGAACCCAGGCATCTGGGCCTCAGTCCATCCTGCTCAAAACCCTCAGACCTCACAGCTCTCCTAGAGCAGGAGGGAATCCAGGAATCCAGGCTCCCAGCCCCTCCTGCTCCCACCCCCCGACCCCACTGCCCTCCAAGGCATCCAGGCTCCTAGCACCCCCTCCTCCTCTCTCACCCACGGACCTGCTTTATTACTCTGGCCACTCTGGCCCCCCAGAGCTGGAAGGAACCCAGGCACTGGGCTCCCCCCACTCCCTGCAATCCTCTGGCCCCCCACAGACTCCAGGAGAGAACCTAGACATTCAGGCCCCATGCCCCCCCTCCCCTCCCCGAGACGGAGAGAACCCAGGTGTCCAGGCCCCAGCTGCCCTGTTCCACAACCCCCAGGCATCCGGGTACCTTTCTTGGAGAGCCGCTCCATCTTCCGCGCTTCTATCTTGTCACACTTGCGGTACCTGCCACAGTCCGAGCCAGGGGTCAGAGCCGGGGGATGCACACAAATACTTCTGCTCTAACCCACTCCCTCCCAGTGCTGGTGAAAAACCAGCTGTCCTGGTACAGAAGACAAGGGAGAACCCAGGTGTCCAAGGCCCCACTCCCCTCCCACCTCCAGAACTGGAGGACCCCAGTATCTCAGTCCACAGAAGATAACCCAGGTGTGTCAGGCCCCAGCTCAGGTCACTCTCAACACCCCCTCCCCTCCCAGAGCTGGAGAGAACCCAGGCGTCCAGGCTACCAGCTCCCCCTGCTCTCACCCTCCAACCCCTTCTCCTCTCCCAGAGCTTGAGAGAACCCAGGCATCTCTGGACCCTGCCACACCAGACTGTATCGGCCTCTCAGAGAACCCAGGCATCCAGGCCCCCCAATGCCCCAGCCCCAGGGCAGGAGGGAACCCAGGCGTCCAGGGCACTCACACGCAGCACTGCTTCTTGGTGTTGGGCCCACCGAACTTGGGCTTGTCCAGGCAGTTGGGGCAGGCACCACAGTCCTGCAGCGTCAGGCAGCCCTTGCAGCACCCACAGCGCGCCATGCGGTTCTTGCGGCCCCCCCCTGTGGTGGGCGCTGGTGGGCGCCGGGCAGGGGGTGCAGGGGGCGCTGCCTGGGGCCCCCCTTCTGCCCGTGCCCGCTTGCCCTGCCCACCCTCCGTCTCCGAGGCTGACGATGTCTCTGTGGGGGCAGCAAGGGGGGGGGGGGAAAGGGCGGTGGTTAGTGGCAGGCAGTGCCCACCGGGAGTGGGGGGGGAGGGCGCAGTGCCCCTCCAGCAAAGCCAGGCACTCACCCTCAGGGCCAGGGGACGCGGCCAGCTGGGTGCGCTCACGCAGGGGAAGGGCGCTGAGTCGCGGCACGTCCTCGGGCACCACAGCCCGCGCCTGCCCTAGTGCCACAGCCGCGTGGCGGCACACATGCTTGATTCGTGGGCCCTGCACTGGGGACTCCTGGCCCTGTGTGGGGGAGGCGGTGGTTTCAGAAGTCAGACAGGGACTGTAACCATCCTCACCCAACATCATTCCTCAGACCTGGAGCCCCCAGACAGCCTCTGGGA